CCCCCAAGTTTTTAAGGAATGAGTTCATCTGTAGAAGTAATTCAAAACATGACATAGAAGTAGCTCCTTTATAAATACTCAAAAGACAGAGTCAGATGGATCCCTCCTTGCCTCTGGGAGTGTTGGTGCCTCTGTCACCTGCACCGCAATTAAAACATACTTGAAGTATTCCGAGCACGTTTTTTAGAACGGTGTCAGCGTGTGTTTTCCTTGTAATGTGATGGGAAGAAAAATGGAGATTCCAAGAAGAACTATTGGGAGGTAATGTCGTGTCCAGCTGTCAGCTGGGTTTGAGCTACCTCGTCTCAAAAGTTCCTGCCTCGTGTTGAGCGGTGAGTTACCGACAGCTCGGGCGGCCTTGCCCCTGGGAGCGCTCAGAACACCCACGCCGCAGCCGGCCCTCCCGTCTTCAGCAGACTTCGGGCTGGAGTTTTACGCTGTCGTTCTTTGTACAGGGTCATCTGGATTTAGAGTCAGGTCCTTCTGGGGCATTCCTTTGAGAGAAGGGAGGCCACCTGTGGCTGTTTGGGTTGGGACTGATTTTGTATTAGACAAGACAGCTGAGTGAATCTGGGCAATAAACTCATCCTGACTAACGATCGGAATCAACGCAGTCTCAGAAAAGGAGCAGAGAGAAGCGCTTTGTACTTCTTGCTGCTAAGTAAGAAAAAAATACTGATTTAATTAACAAATTAAACCAAATCTTTTTGTTTTTTGCCAAAACAAACATTTGGAAGTTTAATTTTTTAAATTTTTTTCCCCCCTTCTGAAAGCAAAGATAATAAAGGCCTTGATTTGCTTGGGAGTCTCTGTGGTCCCTGAGGAGTGCTGTCAGACAGTAAGAAACATCTCTCTGCCTGAGAAGACACCTCAGAGTTACCAGCTATTATGCTGTAGTGGGTGGCCAGTTGCTGTCCTGGGTGGCCAGTTGGTGGCCCAAGGAGAGAACAAGGCAGTTCTAACTGGCCACTGGAAACACTACCATGTGCTGGGTGGAACCAGCCTAGGGCTGTCGCTGAGCTCCAGCTAATGAGCAGCTTTATGGGAACAAGATGCTCGGAAACTCGGCTGGCTCTCCCAGGAGCTGCCTCCTGCCATGCCGGGGCTATCGCCTGTTTGCAGGAAACCTGTTTGCGGAGTGGGGCAGCTGCGTTCACATGGTGCAGTGTCTGAGAAACCAACTCTGAGACCCATCTGCCTCCCCATCCTCATGGCCTCTCCCAATTACTGTGTCCTTTACCTCACCCTTCTTGAGAGCCCCTTCTGTGCCTCTGGGTACCTGCTGCCTTTAAATCTCCTTGCAGCGTTCCCTGAAGGATGCCCCGCAGCACCTGTCGCTGTCCAGAATATCCTTCTCTCACGGCTTTCCACTGAAGAACTGACAATTGGTAACAGGGATCCAGCCTCCAAATAACTAAGGGGAAAAATAAATTCTAAGTCTCAGCTGTTAGCTTTTAACTCCTGGGTTATCTGTGATGCCGTTCAGTTTCTGCTGCTTGCTTTGCACTGATACCAGTTGAAGCAGGACAGACCCAGGTGTCATCTCTCCCAGGTGATCATCAGGCCAGATCAGAGCATGTCTCACTCAAGAAATAGTTATTTGGTAGAGAACGGATCTAATCCGGTGGGAAGGAACCGAGGGACATCTGTTCTAGCAGGGCTAGAACGCTTGCTCGAGAGGTGTGACACTGGTTCATCACCTCTGCTCCCATCCATGTACTGTCCAGTTAAAATACTCCATTAAAATTTGGTTTAATGGAACAAATGACTTTTCCTTTGAATTTGATAGAGGTCTGAATGGAACGTTAAAGCAATATTAGTTTCGATAGCACAGAGAGAAAGCACATGGAACCTGGTGATGTGAAGAAACTTGTTTCACTTGGGTGGGGTGCCTCCAGGGGCAGGAGCCACCCCTTCCTCTGTAGTATCTCGTGAAGCACAAAAAGCAGATTGTGAAAATGGTATGGGTTACTTAACTGGGCTGTCCAGATGAAGCTAGCAAGCACTGTAATGTGTTGAAATACAGGGGACAGGAGAGCATTCCGTCTGAAAAGATGCCAAAAATTTAGTGGAAAAATTCAGTTGTTGGAGACAATCTAACAGAGCTTTGAGGGCTACAGAAATCCTGTATTTAAAAATAAAGCTGAGACAAAGCCAGTATGTGCTCCAAGAGGAGCACACACTTGCCTCCTGACTAAAAATGCCTTTGCAATCACACATGCACAGGTACTACAACTCCCTGTTGCTCTGGCATTTGTGCGCAGTAACATCGTATTAGCTGTATACTCAGTTTACT